GCTCGTATTTTTTTATCCGCGGTTCCATTCCCCTCTGCCGATCTGGCTAATCTACATGCCTCTGTCGAAGGAGGCATGTAGTCTAGACACACCCCTAGTGAAATAGTTTTTCCTAATATCCAACCTGGACCTCTCCCACCACAACTTGAGACCATTGTTCCTGGTTCTGCCATCCGTCACTACTGAGAACAGCCATTCTTCAGCCTCTTTGGAACCTTCCCTCAGGAAGTTGAAGGCTGCTATCAAATCCCCCCTCACTCTTCTCTTCTCTTCTGCAGACTAAATAGACCCAACTCCCTCAGCCTCTCCTCGTAGGTCATATGCTCCAGCCCCCTAATCATTTTCATTGCCCTCTGCTGGACCCTCTCCAATGCATCCACATCCTTCCTGTAATTGGGGGCCCAGAACTGAACACAATACTCCAGATGTGGCCTCACCAGAGCCAAGTAAAGAGGAATAATGACATCTCTGGATCGACTGGCAATGCTCCTCTTAATGCAACCTAATATGTCATTAGACTTCTTGGCTACAAGGTCACAGTGTTGACTCATGTCCAGCTTCTCATCCACTGTAATCCCAGGTCCTTTTCTACAGAACTGCTATTTAGCCAGTTTGTCCCCAGCTTGTAACTATGCTTGGGATTCTTCCGTCCCAAGTGCAGGACTCTACACTTGTCCTTGTTGAACCTCATCAGATTTCTTGGGGCCCAATCCTCCATTTGTCTGGACTCTATCCCTGCCCTCCAGCGTATCTACCTCTTCCCCTAGCTTAGTGTCATCTGCAGACTTGCTGAGGGTGCAATCCATCCCCTCAGCCAGGTCATTAATAAAGATGTTGAACAAAACCGGTCCTAGAACCGAACCTTGGGGCACTCCGCTAGAAACCGATCGCCATCCTGACATCGAGCTGTTGATCACTACTGGGTCCGACCTTCCAGGGAGCTTTCTATCCATCTTACAGTCCATTTATCCAATCCACACTCCCTTAACTTGCTGGCAAGAATATTGTGGGAGACCGTATCAAAAGCCTTGCTAAAGTCAAGGTATATCACATCCACTGACTTCCCCATATCCACAGAGCCAGTTACTTCATCATAAAAGCTAATCATTTTGGTTAGGCACGACTTGCCCTTCATGAATCCATGCTGACTATTCTTGATCACCTGCCCCTCTTCCAAGTGCTTTAAAATGGATTCCTTCGGGATCCCCTCCATGATTTTTTCAGGGACTGAGGTAAGACTGACCGGCCTGTAGTTCCCTGTATCATCCTTCTTCCCTTTCTTAAAGATGGGCACTACATTTGCCTTTTTCCAGTCACCTGGGATCTCTCCCGATCTCCATGACTTTTCAAAGATAATGGCCAAAAGCTCCTCAATGACATTTGCCAACTCCCTCAGTACCCTCGGATGTATTAAGTGGATTTATGTTGGAGAAAGGGCACCTTTCTTCAAATGTAAGAAATGCAAAGGACAGATTCTGCAGAAAGACCCTTGCACTTATGTTGGTACCTGCTATGAGCCCAGCTAAGGAGATCCCACAGAGAAACCTACATCCAGGGGCTTGTGAACATTCGCTGTTGCCCATGCTCTCATAGGATAAACACGGGAGAAGACTGGGGTTATGCAAATGGAATTGTCCACCTCTCCGCTCAGAAAGTCATAAAGCCATGGCAATATCTCAAATAAGAATCCCTTTACAATACTGGTGCATAAAAGGGCTGGTTTGATCAACTTCAGGTTACAGAAGAGGTCTGCATGCCGACTGAAGTTCCTTGCTGCAAAAACCGCAATGGCTATTAGCTGAATACAAGATCATCATGCAAAGTGGGTTTAATACTAAATTATGCTGTGAATTGTCATTCAGCTTTTAATATCAAAATGGCTTATTATACTTAAAAGTAGCATCACATGTCTGCAAAAAGCTGTATCCTACACTTAACTTAAATATCCCAGCACACATGGGAGGTAAGTCAGTGATTTTTCTGAGAGCCTTTGAAAGAATATGTTCTCATGGCAGCAAGAAAGCTGGAAAGTGCAATATTGTTTAGCCTCATTGACTACTGAGTCGTGACCATTGTCTTTTTTCTGAATTCTCATTTCATCAAACACACACATTATTTCAAGGAACTCTGGCTTCAGTGCATTCTGGTTGGATGTTCGTAATCAGGTAGAGTATGGCCACAAGATTTATATTCACTGGAAGAAGATAGATGGAAATCACACACACCGCTAAGACATTACTCACGAGCAGAGTAATGGTTGCAATTTATTTCTCTCTCTATATATATAAAAAACTTTTCCTGCGGGACCACAGAATGATGTCATGTGTCACTGTGTCCCACCACCACTCCCCACCCCTGGCAGCTGCGTGGCCTCTCCCCTCCCTGGGGGGGCAGAGCTACATGGTTTCCAGGGCATGAGGCCTCCCCCTCCCAGGGCTCCAGAAGGGGGGGGGGGAGGAGCTGCACAGCCTCCCGCCTTGCTGGTGCTCCGGCGGGGGGACAGGAGCTGTGTGGCCTCCCTCCTCCCTGGTGCTCAAGGCATGCATCTCTCCTGGCAGCCCACTGCAGAGCAGTTGGGCTTGGCACTAGTGGTGACTACTGGCTGCCCCGGCAGGACCCTGTACTGCAACATTCAGGATGGGGATAAGGAGCGAGGGGGCCCAGTTCCCAGCAGCAGCTGCAGCACGGCATCACCAGCATGTCTTGCAGCAGTGCCGCAGCCTGATTCTCTCCCACCCAAGATGAGGGAGAGCCTTCCCAAGCATAAGCAGATTGCAGGAGTTGGGGGGCCTGTGGTGAGGGTCTGGAGGTCTGCAGATAGCAATACCCATGCACTGACAGCTCTCCCTCCCCTCCCTGAGACACCCAAGCTTGGGTGAACGCTGTGGAGGCGCGGCCCTTTGAAGGTTTGCCCCCACGAAGCCTCAGGGCCCTTTGGGCTCGCCCTGTCCACAAAGCACTGTCCTCTTCTGTGAGGCCCTATCTCCCCGCTTCCCCCCTCTGGCTCCCAGCCGGGGCCTGCTCACAGTGCTACACCCTGGGCTTGCAGGGAAGAGGTACACCAACTGGAGCATCAAGGCCAAGCCCTTGGCTCAAGCGGGCTCTCCTGGGCAGGCAGGGCAGGTTTTGGTCACACCACATCCCCTTTGGGGATGGCCTAGTTATGCTGCACTCTGGCCACTTCCCCAACTCTCCAGAGCAGCCACTCTGGGCTCACCAGAGAGCAAAGCTGCCCCAAAGGCCATTCACACAGTGTCACACAAACCCAAACAGGCCCTTTAGGAAAGGCTGGGATGAGCCAAAGTGCGCAGCTCGATGAATTCATGGGAGGAAGCAGGGTGTGTGCAGGGAGGGAGGAAAGTGGATAGAGTGTATGTGGGGGTGGGCGATAAGGGGTGATGGAGATGAGGGGGGTATAGGAATGGAGGCGGGGTATGGGCAGTGTGGAGGTGCAGAGGAGAGGGGTTAGGGAAGGACGGGGGTATAGGAACGGAGGAAGAAGGTGGGGAGGGATAGTCAGTTGGGGGGTAGGGATAGGTAGTGTGGGTTAGGGAAGGATGGGTGGGTGGGTGTAGGAATGGAGGTGGGGATAGGGATGAAAGAAGGGGGGTAGGCTGTGGGCCATGCAGCTCCAGTTTAAGGACTAGCAGCCCAGATTACCCCACAGGGCTCTCTTCCCACATGACCCAAATCTGGTTCTCAGTAGGATGCAGGTGCTTAAAGCTGGGGTTCCATGGTTCCATGTCTCTTTGTTACACCATCCGCATGGAACATATCCCAGCCTCATGGCAAGAGCTCGCTTGCCAGCTGGAGTTGGGCCGTTTTACTGATAGTGTTTGGTTTTCAGTTACACATCAGGCCCACAAGCCCACAGAGCATATCCCTTCCCCGTACAAGCTGCCCAGGAGACGTTCCGAACTCTGCTCGTGAACAAACTATGTTATTGGTAGATGAGACAGGAATGGGAAGGATGTGGGAGGAGGGACTGGCTGGCAATTGAAGGTCCTGAGCGGGTAGGATGGGCCAAGACAGTTTGGATACAGAGGCCTGTCCATGGGTGTGGTAGGGTAGGAACAGATACAAATCTTTACTCAAATTGTATGGAATGGACCCATCTAGGTTCTTATATTATCTGATCACCTAAAATCATATCATTATGTTCCTAAATAGTTTCTCACGGTTTATTAGAATTACCTGTTAAAAATCGATTTAATTTCACTGAATATAACAAAGAACCATACACTCTGAATTACTCCGAAAACAGTGGAAGATCTTGCTGATGATAATGCATATTTTTCAAAAAGCAGATCAATACCCAACTGACCATGGGCTACAGATTGTAACAGGAATCTTCCATGTTGAGAAATGTGATTGCCTTTAAAAACCTCTCTAAGAAATAGTCCTAGTCTTTTTTATTGGATTTCATCAAACTCCTACTTAAATTTGTGTCCTCATTTCATCCTCTGCATCCTTTAGTCAGTCTTTCTACCATTCTTGACTTGCTAAGCTTTATGCTA